AATTAAAGAAAATAAGATTCTTTTTCCCTTTCAAAAAATCGAAGTGGGTTTTTTTTTTCGTATTGAAAAGTTGTATGTGTGAGAGTAGTGGAATTTGGGGAGATAAATCAAACAAAATTGTCGAATTTAGAAAGGAAGAAATCAGTGGGCACGAGAAAGTAATCAAAATAGAGCTATAAAATATAAATAGGGCCAAATAACCTGCATAGAATGGTGCTATAAAGGTTAAAATGGTTGCTACTCAACCCTTAGAGGCAAAATAAATGGTTTAAAAAAGACAAAATAAACTGTCAGAAGCAGTAAAAAACATTGCGATAGTTCAGAGAAAAGATCCAAAATAATCCTCAGAGAATGATAGAATCAAAGAAGAAATTGGATGCTATTGAGAGAGGAAGAAAAAAAACACGAAATTATCATCAAAAAACAAGTAAGGTATAGGGAATGATTCAGTGAATTGATGGAAAAAACAGAGAATATCCAGCAAAATATAGAAAGTTAATGGCAGGAACTCGTACAAAATGGAAGGGCGACAAGATGAGTCCAAATAATAGGCATAGAAAGGGAAAATGAAGTAAAAGGGAGGAAAAAAAGTAAAGAAAAATAGGGCCGGATGCCATTGAGCTAGATAAAAGTCAAAACAATAAAAGAGAATAACAATAAAAATCTCGCCACCGAATCGAGAGAAACCGAATAACCCACATGGAAAAGAGGAAGAAGAAGAAGAGAAGGAGGAGGAGGAGGAAGATGAATAAAATCTCAGAATTGAAAAATTAAATAAAAGTATTGTAAGTAGAATTCGAATAAAATAAAACATTCGTATTCAAAACCATTGCACACCGAATTGATAATGAAAATTTCGATATAAAAATTCGAGCTTATATAAATATTTACGAGTAAACTTTGAATAGAAGAAGAAAGGAGAGAGAAAAAGTGTGAATTTTATAATTTTAAAAACCGGATATAATAAAGAACAATTGGAAATTGGCATGATTCTCCACCAGCTAACAAAATGGAAGAGGAAAAGAAGAAGAAGATAAAAATGGGTCATCCCGAGTAGCGAATTTTATTTTTTTATTATTATTATTATTTTCTTCCTTTTTTTCATTTTCTGTCGCACTAAGAATCAGAAATTCCGTCAATATTCACTGTTTTAACTCTTTGTAACAAGGTCGAAAGGTTGTTGACTTTAGTTGGATGCTGGCCAAGAGTCGTATGAAGTTTTTGGTAAGATTGGCGGGACTAAATAAATTTTGTAACACTTTAAAAATGTCTCCCGGTATTGTTGGTGATACATTTAGCCATCTTAGACCACACTGGATAAAAATAAAACCTTCCAAATATAACTGTAGACTCGAACTTGAATGCTTCATCCAATCTCTTTTCCCTCTCTTCTCTGTCGTTCCATAAACAAAAATTATATATATATTTATATACATAACTTATCCAAGGATTTGTTTACTGGGAGGAGGAAAAGGAGGAAGGAATAAAAATTTCCATATTAAAAATTTATATTAATATAAAGAATTATTTGTTAAAACATAAAATGGTGGAGATTTTTTTTCCACGTGAAGAAAGACAACTACCGAAGATAATCCAATTATCTTGCTGTTAGAGGAGAGTTTCGTAACTTTAGTTTCCTACTGATAAAGATAAATAGTATATTAGAAAAGAAGAGGAATGTAAAAAAAAGGGTCGTTCTAACCGCTAATATTTTACAATTATAAAAATTTACTTGTCTTCTTAATCAGTTTTGACGTTCATGTAAAAAATTGTGTAGAAAATTACTGGCTAACATTAAAATATTTTTTGTAAATTTGTAGCCAATTAAATGGCTATATGTTTAATGGACGATTTAACTCGGTAAATTGAAGCTTGAATTGATGATATGTTCGTTTCTTGGGTCGAAAATTGTCCAAATAATTTGGATAATTAATTATAATTTGGATAAACATGGTCTCTATTGAGAGGTGTAAACGTAAATATGGTGCCTCTACAGAGATGTAAACGTGTATATGGTCTTTATTGAAGATTTAAACATAAATATGTCCTTATTGAGAGGTTTAGACATAAATATGATCTCTATTGAGAGACGTAAACATCAATATTAGGTATATTTTCTATTTTATTCTATAAAGGATTCTATTAAAGGAAGATAGCAAAGAATAGAAAACTTAAATTAACCACGTTTCTCTCGTATTTTAACATAATCTTATTATCATCCTCTTCTCGTTTTAGCATCTTATTGGGGTGATGTTAGATGGAGAAGATGACAAAAGAAACGAATACTTGATTCTTCTTATCTTTCTTGTCTTATTCTTGTAGTATAAGAATCTCAATTAATCTTGCATGAGAATCTCAATATTAATAAGTAGAAGAATATAAACTTAGCTATCCCTCGGAGGCATCTCTTCTAGTCTTATCTCTACATAGAATTTAATATGTACTGTACACAGTACAAGAGATGAATTCGAATGATTTAAGTTGCGTATTTACAATATATAGTTAAGTTTACAAGTTATATAATTACAATATTCACAGGCTAAAGTCTGGCTCTCCTCTTTAAGCCTCCGAGGAGAAGCCTTCAGGAGATAAATTCCAAATCCAAGAACCGAATTTTATCTTAGAAAACGACTTTTAAAGGTTTATCCTAAATTAGAATCTAGTTATATTTAGTTCTGTAGCTTATAGGAAGAAGAGGAACATCACGTGTTTCTCTTCTTTCTACAAGCAACAGGAATGCAAAAAATTTCCAGCTTAAACTACAAAAAAATTTACTGTTAAATCACAACATCCAGACAACCAGACAAACTTCACAAAATACGAATACACGCGAATAACAAAGCGTGTGTTTTTCTTACATTTAAAGGCAATTATAACAAAATAAATGTAAAATTTAACTGGATTTTCGCATAAAATATTACAGAAATTATAGCAAAAAAAAAGAGTAATTGTATATATAAATATTACTGACTATTCCACATAAATCTTGAAGCGTGTGTATAAATATATGTTATAAAAATGCGTGATAAATAATGTGGGAGATTGACCCATACTTTGCGTGAGGTTTCGCTTAGAAAATATCGCTACTTATACACAGTTAAAAAAAAAGCTGGCAACGTTGTTGCTAGACTTTCCCGGCATTCTTTATTTGTTTTTATCTCTAATAACTGCTACTATTACCTTTATAAGTCACGGCCGATATTAAGAGGATAGAGCCATATCACCCGAATTAACGTTCCGATTTTTCCAAAAAATTTCTAGAAAAATTCCCTTCTAAGACACAAACTAATCTGCAAAATTTCAGAAATTTTCGACAAAAGGCACAGGAATTATTAAGCTTCAAATTAAGTGAAAATAATCATGCTCCACCCACACTAACAACCATACATACAGGGGGAAAACCCCCATCTCGCAACATTTTAAGGACCCGCAAATCCAAAACACGTAAAAATCTCCAAAATTTTTGCATTTTTGGACTCCATTTTGTACTCAAAAACGTGAAATTCTCTATGATTTTTGCATTTATGGGGTGACTTTTTGACCGATGGCCAAACTTTTCCCGTGTTATATAACACAGGAAAGTAACTAGGGAATAAAAAAAAAAGGAGAGAGAAGAGAGTTTATTTTTATGAACAGTCGTTTACTACTGCTTAAAATTCTCATTTAACGCAACTCGAGATATCCTGATCTTCCTCTATCATTATCATACTGAAAGCTTGTACCATTCTGCACAAAAGTTGTCCTTGCAGCCAAATGGAACGACAAAATGTCAAAATGTGTTTGAAAAGAAATTGAAATGAGATCATTTAAAGAGGAAATGGGAATTTGTGAAGTGTCGATGCCCTCTTTTTATATATATACACACACACAAACACACACTTATATTGATACATTATATAGGGCTGTTCTATATATAGCTCTATACTGATCGCTGTACTGTACTGTACTGTACATCACTGTAATTTACTTTAAATAAATCCCCATTTTTTATAAATTTAAGCGTAGAAAGTTACGTAATTCGATTTAAATAAAATCAATTTTACGATTTGCTACTTCTTTTAATGAAGGGAGAGGCGTGTGTGTCTGTCGGTCCGTTCGGTTTGATTCTACTAAACTGAAACCTTAATGATTGAATTTGACTTGTTTGCCGTGTATATCAATCTATCAGCTAATTTTATAATATATATAATTGCTTAAATACTCTTTAATTATTTATAAAATCTAAAGAGCTTAATCATAAATCATTTAATATCGTCGCGGATTAATTTGTAATGTTTATTAAGTTTATAAATGCTTAAATTAATTAATTAATTTTGAAAATTGTAAGATGTAGGAGTCGAAAACTGTTCCATTTTTTTAAAATACCCCGTTTTAACGTTTTTCGATTTGACGCTTATTCCGATATTTATTGCTCCATAATTTAAAAATTTGCTATAAAATCTTATTGAAAAGTATAAAAATACTTATAAATGTTCTTAAATTTTTTTAAAAATATAGATTTTCTAACGTAAAACAATGGATAAAACTCAAACAAAGCAGCAAACTAGAAGAAATTTAAGCAAAAAAAAAAACCTTATTATTATTATTTTTTTCTAATTAAAAAACAGTTTAAAACGCGATAATTTTATTCTAGATAATAAAATGAATAAATAGGTTTTTTAAAAGTTTAATTTAGTCACATTTTTTATAATTTTTTCAATCTAATCCGACTTTTTCTATCGGGTTTTAATTTATATAATACGCGAAAAAATAAATAAATTTAAAAAAAAATAAAATAAATATTAGCGGAGGAAACAGATTAAATCAACATCGATATCGGTTATTTCCTAAGCGAAAAGAAAAAAAAACAATTTTTAAACAATGTTAAAAGGTAGGAAAACAAGAAACTCGATGCTGAAAAACAGATGCGGAATCTCTCATATGTATTAAAAACTGGAAAAATCACGATCGAAGAGCGCCTCCAAACGTTCATCGTACGAACTAAAGTAGTCGCTTGTTTCGTCTGCTGCCATTCGGACGTGTGCTACCGATCGAGCGTTAACATTGGACGAAAATGGCGTGTTTAAATAACTTAATAACGTCTTTTTAGAATTAATAACGATGTATTTAATTCATTTGTACGTTGTGTTAATCTTTATCTGTGTCCTAGTTTCTAATATTCAATCGTTTACCATTGAAGACGATGATTCGATCAACGTAACAGCAAGCTTCGGTAAGTCCGAGTTTTTCTCGCTTATTTTCGCGAAAATCCAATTAATTTACGCGTAAATCATCGAGGAAACGTCATAATTATCTCTCTTAGTTGACTAATGACATTTCAGTGTTGATAAAATGCTTTAAAACTGTAAATAAACTTTGCATAGGCGAAAAATGCGTTTAAAAAAAAAGAAAAAAAAAAACACTTCAGACACAAGCCGAGTTGGATTTTACATTAAGATAATTAATCTAATTTAATTTGTATGGCATGTAAAACGTGTAAATGTCATCATTTATTAAGTATTTTTTAATGTTACGATGTTTAGAAAGTTGCGTATGATTAGTAAAATTCATAAATTTCGCGTATATTAACTTAAATTCGACTGAAACATCACTTAAAACACGAAATGTGGTGTCCGTAAATGACAAATATTGCATTTGTCTAATTGGATAAAAACTTATGATGCAATTTTGAATTTTAAATGATTAAGTGATTCTAATTGGTTTAAGAGACGTGACGTGTTTTGAAAAATTTCGAATATCTTCACGGTAATTGGTTTTGACGCGTGTGACGTATTTCGAAAATTCGAATAACATTTATCACTGTTTAGATTGTTTATTTATTTATTTATTTATTTTCGGGCGAATTAATTGGTTATAAATCGGGAAAATGTGTATTGGGAACTCTTGGTTAAATTTGAAACTACATCGATAAAATCTAATTAAATTGAATATAAAATTATTGTGTGCGAATTTAGTTAATGTAATTATAAATTATAATGTACAAATATAGCAAATTCTTCAATATAATGCGGTATAGAATTAATTAAATTTCATAGATGTGGAAGACAGGATGTCATTCCATTATCTGCCTTCTGGATTATCAATAGTTCTAATTGGAATTGTCAGAATACCAGTTCGATAATAGATTGTGAATATGTCATGATAGACCTTTTTTTATATCATTTAGTTATTAATGGTAATAATCTGTAAGAGGTCTTTTTTTTTTATTTGTTTTTATGCTCCGGAGTTATTATCTCGCGAAACAATCAATAAAAAGAAAAATTGTTTTCAGAAAGAAAATTTATATTAAGAATCATTAATGTTCGAAAAATTATTCCTGGAGGACAGATTTATTTAATTAAAATTGCAATTTTTATATATTTAAATACTTCTGGGCAAATTTTTCAAAGTAAAATATTTTAATTGATCAAAATATAATATTACGTCTTAAATAAGATCGAAGCAACTTGAAAATTTAAAACTATCAACAGATCGCGATTGGTTAATACGACGTGACGTTTTTATAGTTTACTTTAATCTGTTTCTTAATTGGTTAAATTGTTAGTGACTTAAAAAAACGGAATATTCTCTAATTGGCTGAAATTTCTATGACGTTTTCAAAAAAAAAAATTTAATAAATGTGTTGAATTGGTTATCAAATTTGTGACGTTTTTTAAAATTATTTAAACACTTTACTATAATTGGTTAAAGTTTTTATTTGAGTTTAAATTGAAAAATGAGGAAATAAATGAAAAAAGATATTTACTTAGAAAATAATTTAGAGAATGATTAAGTTATATAAACTCACTTTATAAATGCTTTTGAATAATTATGTTTGCTGTAATGCTGCTGGAGATTAGCGATTGTATCAATGTAATTTAGTTCATATAGAAAGCGATTTATGTGCGGAAACTGCGATAAAAGCAGGTCATGTTAAATCATTTCAGTAAATGAACCTACCGTAACCTCTCATCACTTCATTCGGGTCTCGACTAATTGTATTGTCTATTAATAAACCCTCTATAAAACTTTAATCGCAAGTACCCTTAAGGTAAATTTCCGAAAGGATACACTTATTTTCCACATACTTGATTCATTCATTCGGGTAAAGTTGGCATTTCTCCTTTTGACACGGAATCATACGTGTTCGGGCACTAATGAGCCACTCACGTACAGTAAAGTACAGTACATACACATCAAATGCCCTCCCGATTATCATACAAAGGAGATTGCTTATGTGTCAGCATAAGAATGTCTGCATTCTGACCCCTTTGTCAGATGACACAGAAGGTTATTCCTATTTGTCAAAAGTCGACCGCATTAAGAAGAAATCCGGAGAAAACTTTACGTTTTGGACTTAAGAGGGGGGAAACGTACTTGACAACGTTCCAACTATCTTTAATGGAGTTAAGATCTTGACGTATTGCCACGCCATTCCAATGTTAAACTCCACTTTTTCCCTTTTTACATAACACAATTTTGTACGATTCGTATCTCGGTTGTGTGACGTTAACAATAGTATAAAGGAGTTTATAATCCACGCAGTTTTCGTATTCTTAGTGCGGTGGAAGTAGAGCTTGAATTTTTTTTAATAGAAAAAAATTACTTTCAAGCATCTATCTTGGCACGAAATGTAACCGATCATCGTCGTATCAATCAATCTTCTTGCACTTATTGGTTGTTGAAAGTACAAAACTGTGCTTGGTAATCGATTAACGTTATTACCTACGTCATAATTGAGTACGAATTGCGACGGAGAGGAAGAAAAAAGAGTATAAATGAACTAGAATATATAAATTTGAAAAGTTTTATAAATTAAAATCGACATCTTTTAAAGTATCTTAGCGTGCTTTAGCGATTATAGTGAAAGTGTAGCATTTACTAAATTGGGAAGTTCTAATTGATTACAACGAAATTAAATTCCTATTACTGAAATATCCCTTGTAATTAAAAGTTTTATCAAAGTTTACATTAGTTGAACTCAAAAGGAAAGATTTCTCTGCATTTTAACTATTAATTAATGCTAATATTTATTGCCAAATACCTCGATTTTGCGCGTTTTTTCCTTAATAAATCTTCTTTAAACTTATTTTTATAAATTAATATATATANTTATTTAAAAAGCCCTTAATACTCTAAATTACAGGTTATAAACGAGAAAAAAATTACCGTATATTGTATAGTTTTTTTTTTAAATCGATAAATTTAATCAAAAAGAATTTTAATTAAAAAAACAAAAATTTAAAACGTTGTAGTCAATAGCGAAATATTTTTTTACGTAATTAAATTTTCTGCTTGGATTTTTAAAATTTTTTTTTGTTTTTATATTTATAGAAAATAAGTGAAGTCATGTAAATAGTATTATTTTTTTTAAATAGGAAGGAAACGGATAAAAAATAAAAAAATAAATACTTTCTATATAATTAAAAAAGAGGAATGTATATAAATAAGGAAAATAATGGAGAGTGATCAGGATGATCTTACTTTTCAATTGGTTGCAGTTTTCGGTTTGTCAAACAGGTTTGAAAATTTAGCTTCTGCTACATTTACTTTCTTCTTTTTGTGTCTTTTTTTCGGTGCCAGATATCCCCCAACTCATTTGCCTCCTAGCAAACAAATGACCTTTTGTTTACAGTGAAAACCACTCGTGTGATTTCAAGATCCTTTTCGAGAATGATACCGTTTTCTGGTCAAGTTGTTTGCTCCCCAACCGTTTCTTTGCTATCGCTGTGACGGAATTGGTTTGATGTAAAAGACATCTTCGATTTTTACTTGACATTTTATCAATTGTTTGTCCTGCTAACGGTAAACTATACAGTCGGTGTTTCGAGTACATATCGTTCTACATTTACTTGATCAATGTGAGTTTACGTTTTTATAAACTATTCTCGAAAAATTAATACGTCGAATTTTAATTTTTACTTTATGCCACCAAATTTTAAGTGAATAAATTAATCAAAAGTGAGAAATTGTGAAATTAATATTATAAATGACATTGCGAACATAAGTCGTCCTCTTTAATATACTTAAAATATATACGTTTAAAATTTTTAACGCCGATTGGTTGGCGGTATGGTTATCTCAACGATGATTGGTTCAATTTGAATATCGTCTATTTTTTTTAAATTTTCTTAACTAATCGAGATAGTTCTGGCATTTTTAACTACAAGCGAAACTTCGATTTATCGCCGGTATTTGTTCACTTCCGAAATTGGCATAAAATCGAGTTTGGCGCTTTTAAGCTATGAAAATAAGATATAGTGACGAGGTGTACTGTACTATAGGCCTACATACAAGTTTGACGGTCACGTGATTTGGCGATAAAAATGTCGTTTGCAATGCTAAATCACGCATTTAGTAATTCGTTGATCTATTTAATATTTATGGGAAAGATCCGTTCAATTGGCGCTTTACCAAGGTGTCACTATTTGGGAGGACGCTACGTAGAGGTTTTTCTGTATTCTATTTATTTACAGAATAAAAAATGAATATAATAACACAAGTTAAAGTAAAAAGAAAATGTAAATAATCGATTTTTATTGGTTAAATCATTTAAAAAACGGAGCAATTTGCATATATAAAAGTCACAATAAGAAGAAAAGGAGGGGAGAAAAAAGTAAACAAATTATAATAAAATACATATATAACCTTCTCGTATTTTTTCATTGTCTGGCAGCTTGCCACTCTGTGAAATAAGAACAGATGTTATAATGTAAGAAAGTTTGCCGATTAAACCTTTCGTATGAATAATAACTAGAGGTCATATGCAATTAAATTACAATGAACCAGAGAAAAAAAATTAGAGGGAAAAAAAATTATATATTATTTTTCTCCTTCCATCTCCGCATTTAATATTTTATTGGATTGATCTGAGATAAGTAATAGAATTCTTCTTATAAAAACCAATTATAGCTCCAGGCTGTAGTTTAGTCGATTTGATGATATTCGAGATTACTTAATTTATATATAGGGGAGATCGGGGCAAGATCGGCATGTTAAGCTTTACTTAAATTTTGTGTAATAAATACTGCTGTAAACTGAAAAAAAAAGCTTTCATATTGTCTATTGGAATGTTACCTTACTATAGAACTGGTTAAAATCAGTTTGGAAATAAAAATAATTAAAATAATTACAACTTTACAAGAAGAGAGAAATTGACGAAGTTGCCCCGGGTATAGGGGCAAGATCGGCAACTTCTCTCTTTTTGTAAAGTTGTAATTATTTTAATTATTT